ATAAAATTATGCTATTTTACCCAAGCAGCCGCACTTGACGGACAATGTATAATAAATTTTTTTTTGAGAAGTACTTTAAAGGGGGGTGGTTATTAGATTAAAGGTTAAATGCTTAATTTGGTCCCTTAACTTTATGAAATGCATATTTTTGGTCCCTCAACAATTTTTTGTACTTTTTTTATCATTCAACTATACAAAATGCACTCCGTTAGTCCTTCTGTTAATTTGGACCATTAACCTTGCTTAGGTGGCATTTTTTATATTTTTTTTGATGATGTGGAGAGCAAAACTTAAAAAAGTGATAATATGCATAAAACTTTTGCCATGTCACATGCTACCCTGGCGAAATTGCGCCAAATCCATCCAAATGGATCCCACATCACCACTAAGAATTGCTTCTTTGCCCATCGGTTACTGTTTTTCTTCTTTCCATAAACGGTGTTCTTTCCATTTTCAAGATTGAAGTTCGACAGAACCCAGCAGATCTGGGTTTTATGTAACCCAGCAAATAGGTTCCATCGAACCCAGCTCGATTCACTAAACTCAATTGCCCAAAAATCCCTCACAACAACCTACAATTGCCCAAAAATCCCTCACAACAACTTGCAATTGCCCAAAAATCCCTCGCAACAACCTGCAATTTGAATAATCTCTTGGTAAACAATCATATAATAATAATAATAAAAAAAACCAGTTGCCCAAAAATACCTCACAACAACCTGCAATTTGGATAATCTCTTGGCAAACAATCATATAAACAAAAAAAAAAAAAGTGGAGTTGGGTTCTGGGTTCCAGCGAACCCAGCAGATCTGGGTTTGATGGACCCATTTGCTGGGTTCCAGCGAACCCAGCAACTGGGTTCAATGGCCTGGCCCGAGGAAGAAGAGGAAGAAAGAAGAGGAAGAAGAGGAAGAAAAAGAGAAAGGAAGAAGACATAATTTTTTTATTATTATTTTTAAATATAAATAGTAATCATGTGAGTTGGCATGAAAAAAAAAATCCACATCATGAAAAAAAAAATCCACATCAACACTTTTTCAATTTGTTTTTGCTACGTCATCAAAAAAATAATAAAAAATGCCACATGAGCGAGTTAACGATCGAAATTAACAAAAGGACTAACGGAGTGCATTTCTTAAAGTTTAAGGATAAAAAAAAATGCAAAAAATTGTTGAGAGACCAAAAATGTGCAACTCACTAAAGTTGAGGGACCAAATTTAGCAATTAACCTAAATTAAAAGAACATTTTAGTGTAATAAAAATTTTATTTTATAATAATGTTCAAATTTTTATAGGGATAATTATAATATATATATATATATTTTCCAACGTAGTGTTAGGGCAATTAAAGTTGAAGGTATGCTTCCAGGAGATTTCTTCGATGAAGGGGTGGGGCTCTTGGAGTTGAATGAGTTAGCCGCCGAGAAGAAGTTTTGTCTTTGGACTGAGGCGATGCATGTCAACCTGATGGTGAGCCAGGATTACTGTAGTTAATAATAATAATAAAATAAAATCATGCTGTCACGTAAGGTAACATTTGGAATTGGCAGACCGAAGCTGTAAAGCCCCTGGCTTTGAAAGCACTAAAGAATCCACAAGAGAGCTAAGGCTCCAGAGATACACAAGGGAACCGCTTTTCTTCCTTTCCATTAACGACCTTTGAGAATCATTTTCTGCTTAATTCTAGAATACAGAGAGGAAGACAGGGAATGGAATGAAATTTCAATCAAGAAGACTAAGTATGAAATTCGGAAATTCTAATGTAACTAAGGTATAATTTTCAAGAAGATGGAAAGATGCCATCTTTTACGTATCTTTCCCTCCGTGTCCAGTTCGTGCACGTCATGTGTGACTCTCAAGCAGTCAAAGCGATTGCCGTATTGAAAATAAAGCGGCTTAGCTTCGCTAAATACCTTACGAAATCAGGAAGCTCCCAAATTTTCTCTGGGATTTACAATCACTTCTTACTCATCTAACTCCATGATTTCATCTATAGCCCTTCTTTGGAATCCATTCCTCATCCTCCTAAGTAGTTTCTTGATCCTTGCAGCTGCTCAAGGTGTTTCCCGCAATGTAAGTGTGGGTGATTTTCTCCTTGCCAATGATCGAAACCTTACATGGAAATCCCCATCTGGTGATTTTGAACTTGGGTTTCGCCGTGCTCCAGACCAACAAGATCGATTCCTCCTTGCTATTTGGTTTGCCGAAATACCCCAACAAACCATAGTTTGGTCTGCAAATGGAGACAACCCTGTAGAGATAGAATCCAGAGTTGACCTTAACTCCAGTGGCCTAGTGCTCAGAGCTCCTTCTGGCATAGAGCTTTGGCGGTCTGACAGCACCCAAGATGGCACTGGAGGGGTATCCCATGCAGCCATGCTGGACACCGGAAACTTTGTCATCACAGGAAGGAATTCAGAAAACATATGGGAGAGCTTCCAAAATCCAACAGACACCATATTGCCAGGACAAGAACTAGGCCTAAGTAGTACTCTTTCGTCAGCCTTCTCCACAACAAGCTACAAGAAGGGGAAATTTCAACTCCGTTTCACCTCCGAATCTTTAGTCCTCAATCAAATAGATGTCTACACTGCGAATTCTTTCCAGTATTACTTCAACATCACAGCTGGTTCTGGATTGATCTTCGACAAATCTGGGTATATCCAGGTTAGGAAATCAGATGGAAGTATTGTCAACATTGGACAAGAAAATACAAACCCAACACAGGATTTTTACTACAGGGCTACACTTGATTTTGATGGAGTTTTCACCCTGTATTCTTACTCCAAATACCTCGTTGGAGATAAAAGTTGGTCATCCTTGTGGTATAAACCAGAGGATATCTGCTCCAGCTTTGTGAATCAATATCCTCCGCTCGGGAGCGGGCCTTGTGGGTATAACAGTATCTGTCAACATGACCCAGATAGAAGGGTTGATTGCCAGTGCCCATATGGGTTTTCTTTCCTGGATGCAAAGAATAATCACTCTGGATGCAAGCCAGATAACCATAGCTACCCAGGAGACTGTAATGAGGAAGGCTCTACTATTGGAGAGGATCGTTTTGATTTCAAGTCTGTGCGTTTTTTAGATTTTCCCTATGGTGACTATGAATTCTCGTGGAATGTAAGTGTGACACAATGCAGAAGGTCTTGCCTTCTTGACTGTACCTGCGCAGCAGTTATCGTGTATTCTGGCTTAGGAAACTGCTGGAAGAAGAAACTACCGCTTTCAAATGGGTGGTACAATAAACGCGACGTTCCCAGAACGGCATTTATCAAGGTACTAAAACCAAGTGAACCGCCATTGAGTCCTCCCAATCCAAATCCAGGCGAAAAAAGGCAGAATCCGGTCATTCTCATTCTCTCAGTCCTCTTAGGCACATCAGCATTTTTCAACATCTTTACTTTGGTTGTGGTTTCCTTGCTTCTCTTCTATTTCTACCAAAGAAAGCTTCAGGATCTGAACAGG